AGATGTGAATTTGTAGGAAATTTCGTCTACTTTTATTTTGGTAAAAAGCCGCAAAAATTGCTATTTTTATGTTTTTTTCATTTTTTCAGTCAAGTTCCGTCACGAAATTTTGTTAGCAAACAGCAGATTCGAATTCAAAGCTCCAAAGAACATAAAGAACAAAATAAATCAGAACTACCTCAAAGCTTTTCCCAAAAAATACAATTTTCCTTTTGTTCAAAATTGCTACTTGGTATATAACTCAGCTGAGACTAGAAATAGCTATTTGACAGCTTATCAAAAAGACCAAAACGGATTCTTCAAACCCTCTTACGCGCTATCCAGTGAATTAGAGTTTTGTCTAATATTGAAATATTAAACAATGCTTATTTAAATATACCGATAGTGTTGTTCTTTTTGCGGATAAAACAAAGACTAATTAATTTATTAACATATACAGAAAATAACAAATGTCATGCACATTTAAAAAATCAAACATTTGTAAATATCTCAAAAAATAAAAAATATTTTTTAAGCCACTGAAATATATAGGCTATCCAACGACAAGATCCTTGACAGTCTGTCATTTTAATTTCAAAGTTGTTTGTTTTATTTTACAAAGAAATAAGTTGATAGAACTGGAACGCATAGCAGGAAATTAATATATTTAAAATTTGACTGACAAGTGATTACTTCAAAATATTGTAAAAAAACTGTATATAACTGAAAAAATGTAATCGAGTTATTTTATTTACCAAAAAACGGTATGTGTTAATACAAAACAAACAAGAACAAGATCACCACATACCAAAAAAATATAAAAAGAACAATTTCTTACTTTCAAGCTTCATGACACTTCCCGCATTTATGATTATATTTATCAATATAACTTATGTACATATACAAATTTGTAATATTCGACAGAAATAAATAAAACAACATAAAAAACAAACTGTTTTATTAATAATAACACTTACCAAATTTTATACCTTAAAGGTAGCGTTAACTTTATCTTAATTTTTTTAAATCAGTACCTTTTGACATTATTTTTCTGCTGTACTAAAATTCATTATTTACCTATCGTGTGATGTCGATATTTTACAGCTACTCCAGTTTTTAGTATGTGTAGTATGTGCTCTGGGTCTACAGTTAATTTTCACTCGATTTTTCCTCTACTTGACTTCAAAAGACACAAAACACACGTAATAATACGAATCAAAATGCATCATCTTCTAAAACGCAGGGCATTTGACAAAAGTTGACACAAAATTATAACCTATAATTTGGCAAGATTTTGACAAGCGTCAAAAATTACAAAAATCTACCGTTTAATACGTTTGTCGTTCATGGTTCCGTCAAACCAATAAAATTGAAACACGATCTGTCATTTTTAAATAAACCAATAAAACTGGTTAAAAACAATAAGACACGACATATGACGGATTTATATTTAAACCCATCCATAGTTAACTTAAAAATTATTAGAAACTTTTGTTAGTAAAATAAATAGATTGGTATGGGACGTCATCTGCTTTTCTTCTGTCATCGTCTGTCGAAATCTTACCTAAGAAAAAAAAACAGAGATACGTAAAGGTTACATGATAAGTTGTCAGATAACTGCTATAAGAGGTTCTGGACCTGACTATAGTCAGTGAAAATGTTAATATACAAAAGTGGACAGTTATGGATAGAGAGTCCCTCAGCGATCATAAGTATATTACGTTTGAATGTGTTAACAATGTACAAGCAAAAAGTATTAAAACTTATAATAGGGGCTGGCGTGTTGATAAACTAAATAAAGAAAAGCTAAAAGATGAATTAGAGAAAATTGACCAGAAGTCTGAAAGTACCAGCGTCAAATGTTTCAATGAACTACTTACCAGAATCTGTGATTGAATCTGTGATCTTACCAGAACAATGCTGCCAAAGAAGAAAAAGAGCAAAAGAGGGCAACCGGTATATTGGTGGAATGAGGAGATTGCGAATCTTAGAAGTCAGTGCTTAAGGAAGAGAAGATCATATACAAGACAAGCGCACAAAAGTCTACCATTATTAAGCGAACTCTGGGAAGAATATAAAAAATCCAAAAAAGATCTTAGAAATGCGATTAAAAGATCAAAACATAAAAGCTGGAAAAATCTATGCGAAGATCTTGACAGAGATATTTTTGGGAATGGTTACAAAATAGCAATGAGATGGATAAATGGCTTTCAACCAAGACCAAATTTGGATATGGATTGTATGGAAGAAGTAGTAGCTTACCTCTTCCCCATACACCCAAAAGTCCGTGATAACTTCTGTGATAACAACATCTGTGATATAAATCAGTAAACTGTGGTAATAGTGATAATAATAAAACGATCTGTGATAGAATACTAAGCTTTAATAAGGACGAACTACAGGCGGCTTGTAATAAACCTAAAAATGGCAAAACTCCAGGACCAAGCAATATACCCGCTGAGATACTAAAAGAAGCAGTTTTATACCTACCAGAATATACATTAAAAGTATATAATAGATTAGTAATGGCACAAATTTTCCCAGAGGAATGGAAACAATCAAAGCTGATCCTACTTCAAAAGGGTGAAAGTAGAATTCGAAGTCCAGCAGCCTACCGTCCGATTAGTCTTCTCGATACACAGGGTAAACAATATGAGCACTTGATACTAAATAAACTGAATGAAGAACTAGACAGAACAGGAGGGCTCTCAAACTATCAGTTTGGTTTTAGAAAAGGCAGACAAACGGTTGGAGCAATTGCTGAATTGCTAAAAAAAGGCTTTAGAAGCAGCGGACTACGCACCGAACAACCGAAAGCTATGTGCTGTGATAACTCTAGATGTAAGAAACGCATTTAATAGCGCATCTTGGCAAATTATTCTGGATAGATTAAAAAGAGAGGCATCGAGAAGAGATTAATGCGACTTATCGCATCATATCTATCAGACAGGAAGTTGATACTAGAAGCAGATAACCAGGTTAAAACTGTGGAGATTAATAGTGGGGTACCACAGGGCTCGGTATTGGGTCCCACCCTGTGGAATATTTTATACGACGGCCTTCTTGAAACAAAAATGGCTGAGGGTACCAAACTAATTGGATTTGCGGACGACCTGGCAATGGTGGTAGTTGCAAAAACTGAAGAGGCACTGATGAACACTGCCAACATTAGTTTGATTAGAGTCTTAAATTGGATGAAAAAAAAATAAACTTCAATTAGCCCCACACAAGACGGAGGAAATTTTGTTGACAACCAAAAGGAAAATTTCAGAAATACATTTTAACCTTGAAGACGTAGAAATTATACTCAGCAAAACCATTAGATACTTAGGAGTATGGCTTGATACCAAAATGAAATTTGGCGAGCACATTGATAAAACGGTAACCAAAGCAAGCAAAACATTAGCTGTACTGTCGCGTCTACCTCCAAATGCCGCTGGACCAAGAGCTTCTAAGAGAAGGGTTCTAGTGGGGGTCATTCACTCTCAACTTCTATATGCTGCACCTATATGGTACAAGGCAATGGAAAATAATAGATATAGGCAGAAAATAAACAGTATACAGCGTACAGCGGCTATAAGAGTCAGCAGTGCCTACAGAACCATTTCTGCAGAGGCTGTTCGCGTTATAACGGGTATACCCCAATGCATCTCTTGGTTCAAGAACGAGTTGAAACCTACCAAGGAACTTTGAAAACTGAAGCTCGAAATAGACTATGGAAAAATGGCAAGAAGAATGGGTCAACGGCAAGTATGGAAGGTGGACGTATAGTTTAATTCCTAATATTAGAGAATGGATAGAGAGGCCATATGGTGAAGTAGATTATTATACCACCCAGGCCCTGTCGGGCCATGGGTGTTTCAAAAGTTATCTATTTAATCGAACCGACCAACGAAATTACCAACAAACCACTGTGTATACTGTAACGAGTTAGATAATGCTCAACATACCTTGTTCGAATGTCCAAGATGGTCGGTGCTAAGATATCAGTACTATATAGCTATGAGCATTCCTTTTACAGCAGAAACTATGATGAATAGCCTGAAAGGAGGAGAAAAAAACTGGACTCTGGCCTATACTATACAGTTTTTAAATAAACCAATAAAACTGGTTAAAAACAATAAGACACGACATATGACGGATTTATATTTAAACCCATCCATAGTTAACTTAAAAATTATTAGAAACTTTTGTTAGTAAAATAAATAGATTGGTATGGGACGTCATCTGCTTTTCTTCTGTCATCGTCTGTCGAAATCTTACCTGAGAAAAAAAAACAGAGATACGTAAAGGTTACATGATAAGTTGTCAGATAACTGCTATAAGAGGTATCTGAAATTGGTGGTGCAAAAGTTTCTGTATCATCCGTCTACATGGATGTAGAAGCCATATACGTTTTGTTTGTGGAAAGAAACTACATAAAATTAAAAAAATAAAATAAAATTTGTATTTAATAATGAGCAAAAAAGACTCAGTTGCATAAAAATGAGACAGTCAGTATTCTATACTGAGTGTCTGATTTTAATTTTTTTCAAAAAGCAAAGCAAGCGAGAACACTTGCTTTAAAACATCTTTGGAAATAATACTAAATACACGTAAAAAATGTTTTTTTTTCTGGAAATGCACATTTATTCGACCCTCTTATTAATATTTTTTGGTAATTACACCCCATGCAGGTATAGACATTATTTATTTTTACTTAATGATATTAAAAATAACAACTCTCAAATTGAAAATCATTTTTTTTGCATTCCCCATCCTATTATTTTATATGCTATATTTCATTCAGGAACAATATATCAGCATCCCTTATTTTCTTTATCTGCCACTGACTCCCTTACTAAAACAAGCACCTCTAGCTTCGTGTACATTCGATGCTTTTCGTCTATCGATCGGCATGGTCACCATGACAACAGGGAGTCAATCTGGCCACACATACACATGAACGCCAGGCTGCCCGAAAAGAAGGATATTTTTTTATTTATTATCCTGCCATTATCCTACGGGCGATTTCGGAAGCCGTCGGGATAGATCGAGTAGAGGGGCGACGTTGCCACTGTTGATTCGATTTTCTTTAGGTATTCAACATTTTTTCATTTAATGAGCATTCATTGATGTCTCTTTAATTATGTATTATTACGCTAAACATAAAGTCTACATCATCTTTCGATTTTCAGATCCACTTCAGCTCCACTCACCCCTGAAAGAGGTAGATGCAATCATCCGCGATGTTGTCCGCTAAGGAGGCCAGCTTTGGTCCGTTTGTTAAGTGGTTGCTAAATTGTGAAAATTTCCTGGATTGCTACTTGGACGACTCACCGCATTCACAAGGTACCTGTCATACTCAGGCAAATGTACTCTTTGTCTTGTTTCTATGTTTCCAGTCTTTTTTTTCTAAAGATGCTTCTTACAGTTGTTCCAGTTATGAAAACAATTTTAATGTTATATTTTTTGAAACTCCGACTGATCTTTTCTAATGCTTCTTTAGCATATGGAATAATTGGAATAGTCAAGAGACTATTCCTATATTTAGTATAGTATACTAAACACACATACATTTTGATTATAAAATTTGATATTAGAATTTTTAACCCATACTTTATTTAAAAACAATTCATTTAAAGTAACCTTTTCAGCAGATTTTCTTTTTTCCAGAAGTAAATGGCATGGAACGTAGCGGCAACGCTGTTTGGCGCAACGTGAAGCGGGTTGTTGACGGGAGGGGTGACTTCGGTGAAATATGGGACACGTGGTTAGACTGAAAACAGGCAGGCAATGGCCCTATCCAGCATAAATTGCCAATAACCAGCAGGGAGTCTTCCTGTGGGGTTACTTCGTCAATTTTGTAATTATAGAACAAGAAAAAATAACAAAAGGAAAAAGAGTTGGAAGAAAGTACTCCTTAAAAGTTTATGGGGATTTTTTCAGACGTAAATAATTTAGTAATCGTAATGTACACTTAAATGGAACCTTACCCAAATTAAGACATTACTATTAAAAATAGACTCCTGTTATCTTTACTGCACCGCCTCAGTTTAGAGCCTCCCAGAATTAGAGCACTCAATGCATGAAGAAACAGCAACATTATATCAACAAACATTATTAGTTTTGATGCATATGGTATTATAAACCATTCGCATATATGTGTAACGTTGGTTACGCATAACAGTTTGGAGGGAAAATAGATTATTTTTGAAAGTTTACTTTAGAAAGTTTTATTTTAATTCCACTAAACTTGAGGCCCTTAACAGATTCAGAAGTGGGATACAAGAGGATAAAATAGAGAATTATTAGTATATTTTTAAGGAGTTTACAAAATTTTGTTATAATATGGACAGAGAAAAATACGAACCGGCACAAAGCAACTCATCCGGGTTTCAATCAATCGAATTGGATTTGATTAGAGCTACGAAGAACGTCCCAGAGACTCACCTAGAGTTAAAAATATACCAAATTATTCCAATCAAGAAATAACAAGTATTTTGCCAGATTTTGATGGAAATGGTTCAGCAGCCTGGTTAAGCAGAGTAGATAATGTACAGAAGGCGTACAGCGTACCGGACGACATTATGCTATTAATTATAGTTGGAAAACTTGTTGGTCAAGCGAGATGATGGTACCATTCAAGAGTTGAGTATGTACAGATGAATTTGGCGGCGTTAAAAACCGTTAGAGTTGAACTCAGAAGGAAAACGGAACAAAGAAGATGGAAAAGAGGCGAAAAATTTTCATCATATTATCTTGACAAAGTGTTATTAGCAAATGCTGCTCAGGTTTCTGAAAAAGAAACTATTCATTATATTATTGACGGGTTTGATGACAAATATTTAAAGAATCAGTGTAGAATGCTACTGAGAAGCATAAATAACTGGGAAGATTTGTTTGAAATAATGAATAACGTTACAAAAGAAGAGAGTTACCCAGGAAATAAACTCTCACCAACCAAACAGGACGAAAGGATTGGAGAAAAGCGAGCAGTGAAGTGCTATAACTGCGGTCAAGAAGGACATTGGTGTTCAGAATGTCCCAAACCTCAGAGAGAAAGGAAGCTGTTTTGAGTGTGGAAGTATGGAACACAGGGTAAAAGATTGTCCGCAGAAACGTAGACCTGTATCTGATTCAGTAACGATGCTTTTAGAAGAAAAGTCTGTGGAATGGGTTGAACCGTTCACAGTGAAAGTACTAATAAATAGTTTGGAGAAGTCTTTTCAAGCTATTTTAGATTCTGGTAGTCCAGTGTTCATATTAATATCAGAGAATTTAATTCAAACTGAACTTATAATTCCTTATCAAGGTAAAATGTTAACAAGCATCAATAATTCTAATATAAATATTAGAGGTACATTTTTAAATAAAATTATAATTAATGATAAAGATTATGACATTAACTTTTATGTTGTTAATAGAAATACAATGTCATTTTCTTTATTGCAGGGAAGAGATTTTTTTTATCATTCAAATATTAATGAAATTATTTTTTCTAAAAATCAGGTTAAAATTTTACATTCTTTTAAACAATGAATATGGATAACGTTTGATTAAAAGTTTTATGATTAGCGTATTGTATTTAATCACAGATCAGAATTCTTATAGAGAAAGCAGATTTTAGAGACATTAGAAATTATTATACTTTTAAAAACTAATACATATTTAAAACTGAATGATATGGGCATTTTTCTATTATCTATATTTTATTAAGCACCAAAGATCAATATGTATTTTTCAATAGAAGTGTGTCAATTAAATTTTGGCAAAGGATTATATTGGATATCTCATATACTCTGCTGACAAGCGAAACCTTGGGTCGGCGTTTACATGTATAGAAGTGAATCGCTATGGCAATCTAGTAAGTCGGAGAAAGCAAAAATGCAAAGTATTTATTACATAATCACTTAATCTGAAGCTGGATTCCATGCGCTTGGGAAAATACTTCCCTTCTGACTTTATTCAGTACATCTTATTTTACTAAGCGTGTTGACCGTACTCTTCGTACACACGAAAATCGGCACCCAAGACCAGAATTGCCGACCCTAGTATCCAATCCATATAATCCAATCCCATTCAATGCATAAGTAAACTGGTAGAAAATATTCGATTCTTTGAGCCCGTCTGGTCACAGAGTTAAGTTCTTTGGAAAAGTAATTGTTAATCATTATTGTTGTAGGGGGGGGGGGACAATCATTACATTGAGAAGATAAAACAAAGTTTGATTTGCAGAGTTAGCTCAAACATTTGATAAAATTTGCTACCATGCCTAAACTACAAAATACTAAGGGCTAGCAAAGGTTTGTCTTTTGTCGAGATTTCCGTATGTAAGAAGAGTACAATGCGTTTATAATGTCCTGAACAAAGAGAGAACAGTAAACACGTTGCCAAACGCATGAAATAAACCGAGAAACTCTGCGGACATTGCTAAGAGACGTGGAAGGGGATATAATAGATTTGTCGCAGTCGACCGGTAGACCCAATCAGTATATGATCAGTATCAGTACCTCTGTCAGTACTTAAATTTCTAGGGAAAGGTGTACGTCATGCGTTCAGTTTCACGATTTAATTACGTCTCGCGATACTTTATTTTTTTATTTAACGAGTCGTTGTAATTTTCCCTATAGCTTGAAAAGTTTTAAGTGCAAGTTAGAAATACTTGCATTTTTCGTAAAAATAAGTGGAATTGAGTTGGTGTTTGATAGTGGTCGCGCTATTAGAACTCTGAATTCAAACATCGATATCTCGAAATCTATTAAAAATAATGCATTGTAGTTTTATTTAAACCTTCTTTTTGAGTTTTATTTAAACCTTCTAAACATTTCTGCTATATTTTCTTCGCAGACAGTATGTGAAAATCTTTATAAATAAAAAGCTACACGATTAGGTACTGAAAATTGCTATGCACTGGTTGTTTAAAATTTTTGAATGGAAAAAAAAAACCTTATCGAATATTTCTTATTTAAACATATTGTAAAAGATCCGATCTTCAAAATAAAAAAAAGTTTCAGTGTCTAAAGTGGTTCTTAAGTTATAGCGTGTTATGTGTTAAAAAGTTGAGTTTTTAAATTATCACGATTACTGACTTTTTATTGTTATAAAAAAATGGACACCTTAACGGTATCCTTATAATTCCATTTCAGATGCTAAGAAACATATCTAATGATTTTATCTAGTAATCTTTTCGAAAATAAAGTCGTTTAAAAATAAATGGTTTGCGATCGTGATTTTACTTTACTGGATAGGGAAAGACGTACCGGCAACGCCGCATCAACACACCGTCGTATTTCTTTCTCTCCAACTTAATAAGATCCCTATGCGATTTACTTCCACACATGTAAATACCGACCCAAAAGTAACAGTTGCCAGCACGGTATATATTCTATATAGTATAACGAACACACTGAAATATCCAGTAATTCAAAAATGGATAAGAGGAACTAGCTATTAATTAAAATTATATATTGCTTGGTAGAACAGAAAGTTTTAACTTCATTATTCAAACATTCCAAAATAAGATAGGAGCATACTTAATGTAAATAGGAGCATGTTGTGGGGATTAAATCAATCTCAATGAAAATCTAGCAATTTGCTGATGAAGTTTCTCTTGTATCAAAAGAATACTATAAAGAAAATATTCCTGTATTCTCTCCCGTGTGGTGTAAAATGGATGAGGCAATACCAATGTAGCGAGATCAAGGTACGTACTGCTTTAAAACATTTCCACTATTCCTTGAATTGTCAACTTATCCTAGTATAGAATATATTGAATGTGAATTTTGATAAATAATAATTTTCATCCACTAACTGCATTGTAATTATTGCTGGCTATTCTTTAAGGTACGACATGCCTAAAATTGATATTGATTTTAATTCCTTTTAAGTTTTTTCTATAATGAAAGTTTATTTGCCCTATCCTGTTTTTGATGTCCCTCAGAATGATCATCCGTCTGTTTGCATTTCTAAAAGTACATACATACATACATACATACTGCCATTACTCGCTGACGAGTATTTGACACGCATCAGAAGATGGTCACGCAAGGCGTTTTCTTTCATGAGTTTTTTTGTGACAGAAAAGCCCGATACGTGATGTTATCTGTCTACCGCACTCCGGACATTCAAAAATCTCATTGCTTTGTTGCCTCTTTACTTTTTGGTTGTCGTTGTTAATTGAGTTTACAATTCTTCTCCATTCCGTTCTATTGTGAGCGGCTTCTACCCACACATTCTGCTTGTTAATCCCCTTTAAGTTTTCGTGGAAAATATCCTTGTACCTTTTGAGTTGTCCACCCGGCCTCCTCTTACCATCTACAAGCTCACCGGCACCACCACCGTAAAGCAGAGATTTTGGTATGCGGTTTTCTTGCATTCTGCATACGTGACCAGTCCATCTTAAGCGGGATTTTGTAATCATGACTTCAATACTCTCGCAGTTAGTTTTTTCAAGAAGCGATACGTTTAAGACACGATGGAACCATTTGATTCTTAAGAGTTGTCTAATATGTCTCTGTTGCAACTTGTTTAATGCGTTCATGTGTCGTCGCGCTTATTATCGCTCGGTACACTGTAAGTTTCGTTTTTGTGCTCAAGTCATGATTGTAGAAAACCCTGTATTTTAATTTCCAGAATGCCCTTGAGGCGTTGCTAATCCTCTGCTGAATTTCAGAGCCAATATTGGCCTTTTCCGAAATTAAACTGCCGAGGTAATTGAATTCCGCTACATATTCCAATAGAAAGCATTGAAAGCATTGTTGTGATCTTTCGGGGGAGTG